GCTTTCTTCTTGCTCACCTCTACCCTTCTTTCTTTCCTGTTGCTCTTTATATATCTTCCTATCATTTTGTTGCCTTCTCACCCCACATATCTACCAGTAAACTACAAATAAATCTGAGTCTGAGAAGCTTGGCCTTCCTTAGGTAGAAATGATGTTTGTCATAAGACCTGAAATTCCTACTGTGCACTGGCTACTCTCTATGACGCACCTGTGACTGTGGCTATAAATGCAAGAATCCCTCAGTGCAGGACCCAGGACAGGGAGACTTTATCTAAGAAATTAATGAGCAATGAGCAAGGCAGAACTGAGGTCAGTTACCATGGACAGAAAGCTTTGATAGTAAGGAAAACAATAACCTCAACAGCCATTTCTTAAGAGCTTACTATGTACTGGGTCCTAAGATAACACTTTACAAATGCATCCTCACTTAATCCTCACCACACCTCTGCGAAGTGGGGTCTCCTTTTTTTTTTTTGTACTGGGGATCGAACTCAGGACCTTGCGCTTGTGGGGCAGGCAGCAGAACCACTGAGCTAAATCCCCAGCCCAAGTAGGGTCTACTATTATCCCTTTGGTACTGGTGAGGAAATTGAGACCAAGGCACAGTAAGTGATTCAGGCCATGAAGCAAGTAACAGGCTGAGCCATGTTCTTACCCAGGCAGTCTGGCTGCAGACCATCTTCATAACAGCTGGGTGTCATTACCCTTCAACAACCACAGGATGGTCACAAGGTCCCCAGATTCCATCCAGGGCTGAGCACGTAATGCAGAGCGTGAGCTTGCCCTGCATGGCTGGGTAGAAGCAGACAGGAGAACAAAGGACAGGCCAGGGTTGCCATGGTCAAAGCAGGGTGATCACTGATGCACAAAGTAGAGATTCCATATGGGAGCAAAGACAGACTTGGAGGAGCACAGATACTTTAGTCCAAGTGGGTGAAAACTTAAGTGACAGGATATCTGAGACCTAGGAAGGACATCATGGTGGATGGGCCATGATGGTGATCAGAAAAGGAGGGGAAGTTCAAGAAAGCAGGCAGGACATCACAGATGACTCATGGTGGTCATCAAGGCCAAAACCACCACTCTGAAGTTTGGAGAAAAAGGGGTTAGGGCCATTGGAGTACTGGCAGATCTGGACACAGCCAGAGCTTAAGGACAGTATTGGGTACTGGGCTCAAAAACCAGGACAAATCCAGTTACCAGGCTGAGACATTGTGTCCAAAATACATGAGGAGAAAGGTGGCTTGACACTGAGGGAGAGAGCCTAAAGAGCCTTGGACACCACCTAAGCAGGTTGGAATTGGTCCCACACACCTGTGACCTCCCCTGGGGAACTGTATACACATGTGGCATCACAAGCTATGGTGACATCATGTCTTTCTTCTTATAATCTTTCAAAAACCCATCATGTATAAGTGATCTTTCATGCACAAAAATGAATGGAAGCAAGGTTAGCCCTTACAAGATGCCCTTTTCACACTCTGACTTGCTTTCTTGAACAGGAGAGTTAAAAGATACAAATGCAACCAGCATGTTTGCGTAAGCCTAGGGATGCTGAGTTGATACAATATGCATGTCAATATCAGGTGTTATATAACACAATCAAGAAAGTCAGAAAGTTGTCCTCTGAGGAAGTTGGTCTAAGGGTAGATAGGGGTTAGGCAAAGAGCAATAGTGTGTTATTATAAGCCCTTCTATGTTTATAAATTTTATTATTTTGTGTTATATATACATGTACTATAAACCTGAAAAAATTATTAAACTTGACTATCAGATTATTAGCCTCACACTAAATTAAAAGTAAGGTGGAGGAGGGCATAGAAACAATATACTAATAAGTTATTGCAGCCAGAAAATCAAGGCTGACTAACTGGCAGACACAAGAATTAAAAAAAGAAAAATAGTAGTAGCCAGGGAACATTTAATGTCATCATAAAGAGGTTCAAGCACCTCTCAGAAATCGTTATAATGCAACGAGTGTTACACTTTATGGGACCAATGGAGATGTTGAGACCTCCAGGTAAGATAAGAATACCCCCATCACATTGTGTTTAAGGAGGTAGGGACCCAAACAATATATTTTAGCAAGATTTTTATCAAGAGTTGCCAAAATATCAAGTGAAAGAGGCATCATTCCTATATGCTTCTCTTGTGTGCCTTTCTTTCCTCCATCGCACTTAAAACATGGTAGTTTTTCATTTTATTCCCATTAAACTTTCAAACTGAATGTGTATGAGGGCTGGGACCATGTGTGTTCTGCTCACCTTTGCTGCCCCAGGAAGCAAATAACCCTCACAGAGGTTCTCTTCCAGCCACTTGCAATGCCCATACTACACCAGGCCAAGAACTGCCAGACTGGCCAGGAGTAGATCCTAGCTATGGGGCAATGAGCTGAGGGAGGAGGTACAGACTTGTTCCCAGCTAGGCCTCTGAGATGCTTTGCACACAGGAAGCTGAAGAACTTAATCCCCTGCCATCATTCTTCAGTTCCATCTGGTTGCTAGAATAATTGGAATTAGGAATGCCTGCTTTGATTGCTGCTGGGGAGCAAAGCTTAAATTTTAGTGGGAGACCTCAGTGCTGCCTCAAACTGTAACTGCTGGGTGTCTTATGAAATGTCATGTCTATTCTCTTCAGTTTTCTAGACAGAGAACTAGAAAACGGCCTTAAGCAAGTGCAGCGGTAGGAGATTTGGGAACATCAGTTCAGTCCACAGCCTAGCTGGATGCCCAGCAACTCCTGGGAGGGGAGCAGATCTGAGCTATTTTAGCAATAAGGCCTCACAGGAGGCTCCCATCGTCTTCCACAGAGCTGGAATCCATTACGCAGATCTGAGGGTGGCCAGAGAAAGTCCAAACAAGGGCCCCACTGTGAGATTATGGCCACCTGCACCCCATGGTCACTGCCTGGACCAGGGAGACCTGACCTTAACTGTCTTCCACTCCCACTCCCTTCTTCCTCTCTTTTCCCTCTCATCTCCTTGTCCCTTCCATTTTCCCTCCCCCCTCCTTTACCTCTCCCTGCTCTTTCCATTTCTCTTCTATCCCTTTCTGTTCCCTCTTCTTAAATGAAAGAGTTAAAATAGCTTTTTCAACTCTAACAGGGAGAGTCAAAGGTTAGTCCCCTCCAGAGGCCCTTCTCAGTACCTGAATGCCAAGAGTTCAGCATACAATAAATAAATAGTTATTCCTTTTGTCCCTTTGGTTAAACAGATGGGGCTGTCAGTGCCCAGGGGATCCTTTTTTTTTTTTTAATCAGAGGTATTTTAAACAAGCTGTGTCTTTGCTGTGACTGCTCCCCTTTCACAGGCTCACACACTGGAGTAGCAGCTTCTAACCTTGCCTTCCCTTTGGTGCATAGGCCTGGGGGATGATTGTGGAAGTGTCTGAGACGGGCAGAAGTTGAAGACAAGACCCTAAATATCTAGCAAAGGTGGCCTTCACAGGAAGGGCTCTGCTGGAGCTTGAGCCAGGCACCAGGCACCCTGAGTCCCTCCTCCACTGTGCCCCCAGTGAGAAGTCCACTCTTTGGGAGGAGAGAAGATCAAGCTTCAGGGCCCCTCACTTCCTCTGGCCCTTCCAGGGCCCTGGGAAGATTCCCAGCACTGTGTTCCCAGGATCTTATGTTTTTGTAAGATTTGCAGAAGAATATATTTTAAACACAGTTGGGTTTAACTGCTGTTTCTTTCCACTACAGCTTCCCCTCTCTCATGTTTCTCCTCTGGTCAGATGGTTATGGGCATTTTGGAGACCCAACTCAGGGGAAGCCAAACTGGGAAATTCATTTAGTTTGCACTGAATGGAATACATTTATGAGCCATGGTCACTTCTGTGAGGGGATAAATGACTGCCTGCCATCCCAGGGTAGGAAAGGCTTAGAGCACAAAGACTGAACTAAATATGAATTGTCCTTTGGTCCCTGGCATCAGAAGTCTGTATGTAGTAGAGGAAAAACAAGGTTTGAAATGCACTGAGCCAGAAGCCACTCTGTAGAAAATTCTCCCAATCACGACGTGTAAAATTCAGTTTTGCTGATGCCCCATCAAAGTGGAAATTGAGAAATGTATTCAGTAAGAAAGCATGTACATTGATAAGTGCACTATGTATTGTTTATGGAATTTTATGAAGTGAAATTTATCAGAAATCATGCATTTTCAGGACACTACCCATTATAGCACTGCACACGGTGAGTGCAGCTGTGGGTAAAGAAGCTTGCTTTTCATGCCTCATGGCTATCAATAATTCTGATCAATCCTCCTAGAGAAAAGACTACCTTATCTTTCTATTCTGTCCAATACAAAATCATTATCATATAAAGAGAGTATCACAGTATGCAGGCAAAAATTACAGGGAAAAAGTCACTCTAGAAGTGTGTCAAGCAGTTAAAACATTGTGTGGATTTTTCCTTGATTTTGAGATGACACTGTATTTGCCATGTTTAAAAAATATGTAATTTTAGTAATTTATTTTATTCTTCTAAAGAGTCACTTTCCATCCCAATTTCATATTTGTGTTTTTATACTCATTTCCTTAAAGAGAGTCCCCAACCCCAAATTTTAATAAGCCTTGGGCCCTACAATAAGAATTCTCCCTTTGGGCAGCCTTGGTGAAATTTAGACAAAGGTTTGATTTTCTCTGCCCTAAGGAATCCTCTCCAGCCTGAGCACCCACAGTCCTGGGAGAGTTTGGTCAGTGGGTCCCTGAGAGTATCAAGTTCCCTCCCTCCTGGATCCCTGTTATCCAGGCTCTGGAAGTCTTTGTCCTGATGCCTCCCATTCCAGGTTCTCAGGGCCTCTGCTCTTCTTGGAAACTGATGGGAATTGCTGTTGATGCCCAGTCTCTCCAGATATATTGATTCATTTGATCTTCTTGTGATTCAAAGAAAGGAGGATGGTTTTCAGCCATGTCTGTCCTCAAATGTGCATCGTGTGATCTGATGCACAAAATCGACTCATCCCTCCTGCAGCAGAGTATTTACCAATTTTCTGTTTTCTTTAACAGAGTTGGTGTGGATCTGGATGAAAATCTGAAGGAGGAGCCGTCCTCAAACCAGGCAAGTCAAACTGGCCAATACGTGAAAGACAAAGATATGAGATGTTCTGTGGATGATTCCATGCTTGTCTAGTCTATAGCCAAGGAGTTCATTCTAAATAGGGTTTTCTCTGCTAATAAAACAAATCAGGTGACAATAGAATACAAGGATTTCAGGGTGTTGATCATTTTCAGCAAATGAACATGCCAAAGTAGCATATACTTACAGCCTATCTATGACAGCATGAACCCTGGAAACTTTACAATGTAGGATCCAGACCACAACTATTAGAATGAGACACCCTATGATTCAAATCCATGCCCAGCAACTCTTAGTTAAGTGATCCTGGTGAATCTACTCAAAGCATGTCCAGTGCAATTGACCACACAACAAATGAACCTGTTTCTCCTGCATAGCTTCTTATTAATCAGATCTAGGTGTTCAGAAATATTGAAACAGGCCAGAGACTGCAAAAACTATCTAAGTGATCCATTCCCAATTTAATTGAGCAATGATTACTTTCAGGTACTTAAAATTCCTTTCAGAAAATTGTTCAAAACATGCTGTTCCTCCAACTAGAGGAAATCTGTTCTCCAAACTATGGATTTGAACCTAACATCAAAGTAGAATCTGCCATTAGCAAGATTACATTAGCCATTCTGAACTTGGTTCTTTAAAAAAAGATGAACAAATGTGTGGAAATTTTATACATTTTGCTGAAATTAGAAGTAAGCAAACATGATTAAGATAATGCTGTTCCTAAGTCATGTTGTTTTTTATGAGTTGTGTTGTGATCATATTTGGATTTGAAGATGATCCGCCTCTCTCTCTGATTTCATTGGTTTTCCTCTCTACTGCCATCAATGAGACACAGCTGGTTGGCATTCCTGGTCAAGGTGCCACTTTCCTGGTTCACACAGATAGAAAGAAGGAAGGAGCAGGGGGAATTAAGTTGGCAATAAACCTGAACTCATGTACTTTGATTTTGTTGTCACATGTTTTCCAAAGCCAGGAAGTACTATTTCCCCTGACTACATTGCCCAGGAAACATACCTCACGGCAGGACTGGGCACAGCTGGGCTTAGACAAGGCATAGGGATTATAGCCAGTGTATTGACCTCAGAAAGGAGGTCAAATCCCATCTCCTGACCCTGGTAGGCTGCAATGAGTAGGACAGTCTAGTGATGGCTGATTTTTAAAAAGATTTTCATCTTGTGTAGGTCAAATAATCTATCCTCTTCCCTTTAAGCAAAACTTTTGTCTAAATTTTATCCTTCTCATATACTTTTCTATTTAAAAGAAAAAAATAAGAAAATTCATCAAAGAAGATTCTTTATCTCCATCTAACTGCCTAATATTTTGCAATCCCATATAATTATTGGTAAAAATTTCCTACTAGCCTAAGCTTTTCCCTTTACTTTTTAAATCATTTTATTTTGCCTCATTCATGTGACACTTTCAAAGTTTATCCTTGTTCATTCAGTATTAATTCTTACCTGAAGATATTATAGAAATAAAAGGTATTTTTCATTATTAATACTTTTAAATATTCCTAATAACTTTATAGAGAATAAAATAATGAATCCTACCTATCCATTCCCCAAATTTAACAATTGTTCATATTTTTCCATATTTGTCTCATCTGTCTTTCCTATGTTGGAGTTCGTGTCATAGGATATAAATTCATACTACACCCCTACAAATATTTTGAAAATAGAATCCTATCAAAAATTGATATGACCCAGATGAGCGCTGTTTAATGTTGTAGTGTGAATAATAGTATTTTGTTAAAAAATGAAGCAAATATTTCAGAGCAAATGCTTTGGGTTTCCTCTCACTGACAATGTTTTTTTTGTTTTGTTTTACTTCTTTATGTCTTATACACCCAAAAGTAACCCCCTTCCCACTAACTTCTTGGTGCAAGGACTACATCATATATATTTATCTTATCAGCAGATACTATAGTTCCATACTCTAGAAAGCAAGAATAACAACAAGAAAAAGAAGTAAAGGAAGGTGACAGGTACAGCTTAGTGAATAGTTTTCATATCTTTATATATAAGATTAAAATCTTTAATCTTTAATCTTTCACTTTTACCTTCACCAGTCAAAATATATATTATAGCCCCATCTTACAAATGATTAAACTGAAGTTTTTTGGGGTTTTTTGTTTGGTACCGGGGATCGAACTCAAGACTTTGCACTTGCAAGGCAGGCGGCGGAACCACTGAGCTAAACCCCCAGCCCTAAACTGAAGTTTTAAGAAACAACTTTCACAAGACAACAAACCAGTGATGTGTTGAGCCAGGACTAAAAGCCAATGCTGTAGCTGCATTTGAAGATGCACTCCTGAAATCCTAAGACTCTGGGAGGCTGAGGCAGGAGGATTACAACTTTAGTGGACCCTGTCTCAAACTGTCTCAGAATAACAACTAAAAAAGGGCTGGACATGTATCTCAGTGTGAAGGCCCTGGTTTCAAATCCCAGTATCATAAATAAATAAAGCCAAAGCTTTTTATCCTTACCATCCTCTTGGACCACATTCTCCATGGGCAATTGTCCAGTCTGTAAACATGGCCTTCTTTCTGCCTAGTAAGGTACCCTATCAGTCAGTTGAGATAACTTTCCCTATTACTCCTGGCCAGCCTAACTTCGAATCCTATTGAGAAAATCAAAAACATTCTCTTTTCAAGAGGCTACCGTATATTCTGCATCCTCTTCTTTGATAACTTCTATGTGGAATCATTCCCTTTACCTGTACCTGTTAAGCTAAGGACATAGGTCCATTGTCCAGGAAGTTTTCTCTTCTATTTCAGTATGTGTCATCCTTCATCTACAGTGGAATAGGCTCTATTTCCTTCCAGTAAGAGAGGGCCTAACTGTGTTATTCTCTGTTGATACTTTCTCTTCACAGAGGTTGAGCTGCCAGTCAATCTAAAACTCTTGTTCATACACATGCCTGAAGGAAGACCATTCCAGAAAGAGCAAGAGCCCTGAGGAAAGAATACTCCTAGCCTGTTTGACAAATAGCAAGGATGCCAGTACATCTAGAGTGAGCCACAGGGAGCACCATAGGACATAAATTGTCAGAGATATAGGCAGAAGCCAGATTCTATCAGTTATCTATTTCCACATTAACACTGTATAATAAGCAAACACACACAAAATCTCAGAGGCATGCAATAATAAACATGTATTCATCCTACAAGTCTGTGGGGTTCAGCTTCTCTAAGTTGAACTTGTTTATGTGTCTGTGGTCAGCCCTAGGTTGGCTAGATGACTCTACCGTCTCTGCTGCATGTGCTCACATGTCCTGAGTTGGACGGCTGCTGCTGATCTAGGACGGCCCTAATTGGTATGGCTGAGGTGACTGCTCTGCTCCAGATGATTCTCACCTCATCCAAGGATCAGTGAGCTAACCTGGGCATGTCCTGGGAAAGACAGGGCAGGAATTTAAGCAAAAACATGCAAGGTTTCCTGAGGCCCAGCCTCGAACTGATACATTGGCACTGCTGCCAGTCTATTGATCTAAGAACGTTTCAAGGCTGCCCCAGAATATAGGTGTATAAATAGACAACTCCTTTTTAGTCATAGCACTCCCAAGATACATAGAAAAGGCCAGGGATACAGAGAGAGATGAAAAAGATGTCTAATGCAATTGATCTACATAGTGGGTCATTTGGGCTAAGGTAAAGACTTTGGACCTTATAGTAATCTGTAAAATTTCAGCCTTTTGAAACGTACCGAGACTTATTTTGCAGTTCCAAATGTTCTATCTTGGTAAACATTCCATTTGTTTTTGGAGGAAAAAAATGTGTATTCTGGCAACCATTTCTATAGCATACCAAACAAATGTAGAATACAGTTAGTATAGTATCAAATAGGCTGTCAATTATGTTAGGTTGATTTTGGTTTTGGTTTGGGTCTATTTATTTTATTAGTTACTAATAATACCTCCAACTGTAATTAGGGACTTTCCCATTCTATTTATTTATGTTAGATATTGCTTCATGTTTTCAAAGCTTTCCACTGAATATAAAATATTGGTTCGGTAGCTGGTTTCTTTTTGACTCTTCAAAAATTATATTCTGTTATTTTCTCCCCATTTTTTTCTCCTGATGAAAAGTCAGTGGATTTTTTTCTCTGAACATAATATGACCTGTTTTATCTGATTTCTTTCAAGGTTTTATCTGATTTCTTTCAAGATTTTTCTCTTTATCTTTGGCTTGAATATATATATATGACCCATTATGAACGTGTGTGTGTATATATATATATATATATACACACACACATGTATATATATACATATATACATGTTTATTTTTCTTTGAATTTGTTCAAATTGAGACTCCTGAGTTTCTTGGGTTTCCAGGTTGATATTTTAATCAAATTTGAGGAATATTCTACTCTCCCTCTGGCACTTCATTCATATATATATATATGGCTGCTCTATCCATTTTTCCTCACACCACTTAGGTACTAATCTATCCTTTTAATTTTGTTTCTTGTGTACTACAAATTGATAATTTTGTTGCTGTCTTTTTAAGTCCATTATCACTTTCTTCTGTAGTATCCTATCTGCCCTTTAGCCAATAAAATAGATGTTTTTCAGATATTACACTTTTTGGTTCCAGAATTTCCATTTTGTTATTTTTATATTTCACATTTTTGTTTTGAGATCTTTATTTATATACTCATTGCCTCTGTATTTGTATTGAAACCTCTGAGCACATTTTATAGCTGTTTTAAAGTTTTTACCTATTAATTCCAATGCTTGAATCATTTCAAGGTCCATTTCTATAGATTACCTTTTATTTTTTGTGTGTAACTCATGCTTTCCTGTTTTATCCCATGTCTAGCAGTTATGATATGCTGGACATTATAAATATTACATTGTACAGAACCTGAGTTTTTCTATAGGCATGTTGAATTTTATTCCATCAGGCAGTTAAAGTGTTGTTGAGTCTTGGTTTTATTCTGCTTTGACTGATATATTTTCATCTTGTTCTTACTTTTAG